CAACCCTGCATCAGGCGAGTTGCCCAGCACTGTTCTCCCAGCAACATTGCTTAGTGCTTGCCAATCCTCACAAGGCTTCAAGCATTCGCAGACACTGGTACATACTTAAAGACACCACCGCAGTAATAACGTAGGTTATATCTGTACTGATAACCACCCAGAAAAGGTGTGTAACTTGCTTCATTGCAACATGAGCTTTACTGCAGTCACCTGGAACTGAACTTACGGAGGTCTGAGACAGGGTTGTATCCACAGGCCTGAACTCAAACCTGACCTTGGCCTTGGAGAGCAGCAGAGGCAGCCTTGGAGCTTTTTCTAGGGAGCTCCCACTTCCCAGGGCGTAGCCTTGTCCAAGGCCAGGCTCTCGGATCCCCTGACCACGGTTCCGGGTGAGGGCCCCTCCTGCTGGGGTGCGATCCGGACACTTGCTAGCCTGTGGCATCTGGGTTGGGCTTTCCTAAGCCCATTTCCTCATCTGGGCAGTAAGTAGCTTCCTCACAGATGCAGCTGCTGTGCTGATAAACAGAGCAGGTTCACACGGCAGCAGCCAGCGGATGGCTGGCCAGGGCGAGCTCTCCTAGTCCAACAGGGAACACCAATTCCCTTTCAGGGGGAAACTGAGGTACAGGAGTGAGGACAACAGAGGGGCGTGAGCTGGCTAAGCCCCTGCCTCCCAGGCTTGGACTCTGGGTGGCCCCTCTGAGGACCCACGATGGGAGGCCCCTGGCTCACAGGCACTGCCTGGGCTGTGCCTGGAATCAGCAGTCCCAGGAGCCAAGGGCACCCGCCTGGCTGGGCCCCAGATGCCCTTTGGAATGCTGTTTATCAGTCACAGAGGTAGCACTTAAAAATGAACAATGTCCCCAAAGGCCACCTCTCTCTGCTGACACAGGAGGACATTATCTTTAAAGTCATGTATGACAGGCAGTGCTGGCCAGGCCCGCCCCAAACCCTCTCCTTGTGGTTCTTCTCAGAGCCTTCTGGGAGTCCCAGGTCCTGCACCCCAAAGCAGAGATCCAACTCACTGCCGTGGAGCTGTTCCTGAGCCACGTGGCCCTTAGGGGCAGAGAATGGCTTCCCTGAGGGGCTCCCCTGGTTGTAATCTTTCCGGAAGCAGACAGCCACGTCTTTCTCCCGTGGGCTTGCACGACCCTACCTTATCTTTCCAGACACAATTTCCTGAACACATTGGGGATTGTGGGGGAAAGGAAAATGTCGGAAGGGGTCAGTCAGATGAGTGGGATGAAGTGGACGTCAGTAGCACCTCTCCTGTCCTCGCACCTCGTGGAGGTCATGCTGGGGGCAGGGAGCTAGGCCAGGGCCCACGGAGACATGGCTGCTCGCCCAGGACCTGTACTCTCTTCTCTGGGCGGGAAACACCTGCTTTCCACATTGCAAGCACTGAGGAGCCTGAGGCCTGCCCGACGCCAGCTTCCTCTGTGGCGGGAGGTGGCTGGGTCCCAGCGGACGGGGTGGTTTGCGTGACTGAAGAGCAGGGTGTCTGAGGAGACAGGCACTCACGGTCCTGTCCAGCTAGTGATCACCACTTCTAGTAGGCCACACCCAGCACGTCTGAGAGTTACTGTCCTGGTTTTCTCCTGCCCGGAAAACACGGACACCAAACACAAAGCCAACTGCAGTGAGGTAACTGTTAGTGTAGCAGAGCTAAACCAAGACCCCTCGTCCTCAAGCTGGGTCAACTCTCAGCGGGCCCTCCTAGCAGGCTTCTGAAGGCTGTAAATCACACGGGAGGAAGTTATCCATCTTCCCCTCAACGGATCCAAGCCGCTGCAGAGAGGCATGGGCTTTGGGTCAGCAACGCACCTTCCTATGGATTACACCATGAACGCACCTTCAGGGGGTCAGGAGGGACATGGAGTGTAGTGAACAGGTTCCCTGCTCCCTGTATTTCCTGGTAAGAAATCCCTCGGCCAATCACAGGGGCTCACATCTTCCTCTTGATGGGGCCAGGAGGGTCCCCTTCAGAAACAGGGCAGCCTGGCTGCCCCAGGCCAAGAAGGACCACACCCATAGCTCAGGGCATGAGGCAGCTGTCAGCTGACTCCTCTGCACTCCTGTCATCTGCAGAGGCAGGTCCCTGCACAGCTGGCCTGTCCAGTGCACTTCGAATCTGCCCACTCACTGACTGGGGGACCTGTGCAAAGTGCCTCTGGCAGAGCGAGTACGTGGAGCCATCACTGCTGGGCTTTCTAGAGCCCTGTCCAGGAAAGGACGCAAAGGGCACAGGCCACAGGAGAGCTGGACCCCAAGAGGGGACGGGGTGGCGTATGCTACACATCGAGGCATGTGTCCTACACCTCTCGGACAGTTCAGCTTGGTACTCGAGGCTGGGGGCTTCACAACGGGTGGAAAACAGCTGTTTCTGAGTTCCCTCATATCAACGTGGGCCCAGGACCCCAGAGCCTGCTCCCACGCCTCTCTGCCCTAAGGCAGGCTAGCAGCTCGTGGCATTCTGGGAAGACACCTTTCTTTTCTGTTCTCTCTCATCTGAAGATGTGTACTGACGGTGTCAGGTGCCCCGATAAGCAACAATTTCCTTGTGTTTGCTTACTATAAAGTGGTGGTATTTTTCACACAGAAGATTTTGCTTATAGATGGGGAGGCGTCAGCCCCTCCCCCAACCCCACAGCATCTTCCTACAGAACCAAAGCCTCTTTTCAAACCTATAATCCCTGACAGGGGCAAAGTACCTAGTAAACCAGGTAAGCACACATTTACTTGTGTTTACTGATTAATTAAGAGGACCTTCAATGAAACAGGCTGACACAGTGGCTGTAACAATGGCTGGAGCACAGCAGGGACCGGGAGGTGGTACAGGACCGGGCAGTGTTAGTTCTGACTGCTCCGCAGCACCTGACAAACACACCACGACACTAAGTAGCAGTGAACCTTTTCCGTGTGTGCTCACTTGCTAGCCTAAAGGGAACAGCTCCCCATTTGGAACATGACTAATATTCTCACCACTGGGCCAGCTGGCAACATCATGACAGACAGTGAAGAGACTGAGACTGCTAACTGCTTCAGCTTGCTTGACTCCACAATCAACACTCTTGCTACCAAGAGCCAGGAAATAAAAAAACAAATTGCACTGGGAAAATCTGATGTCAGGGACCTCTCCAGAGTACTGAAGAGCAATGATGTCAGTCTAGAGAATAAGGTGTGGTCGACCCAGGTCTTTGCAATTACTTGCTATGCATCAGAAAGCTAGACAATGACAAAGGATGATAGAAGAACAATTGATGCCTTTGAGTTGTGGTGCTGGAGAAGGGTACTGAATATACCATGGACTGCTAGGAAAACAGGTTCATCCTGGAGAGGGTGAAACCAGGCTGCTCTGTGGAGGCAAGGATTTTGAAACTTTGTCTGACAAACTTTGGACATGTTGCAAGGAGGGACCAGTCCTCGAAGAGGGACATCTTGCTTGGGAGGGTGGAGGGACAGACAGCACAAGAGAAGAAGACCCTGGATGAGATGGATTGACTCAGTGACTGGGGTAGTGGGGACAGATGTGTCAGAGACAATGAGGGTGGCTCAAGATAGAGCAAGGTTCAGAACTGTTGTACACAGGGTCACTATGAGAGGCAAACGACTTGACGGCACATAACAAGCACCACTAAGCCTGCGCTTACCTTGTCTACTGGGCACTCACCAATGACCATCTGTAAGGGCAGGAGCTTTGAGCAAAGCCCTGGAGTGGTCTGGCTTCTACCTGATGCCCACCTGGCATTGGGCACCCATGCCCACCTCTCCTCCAGCTTCAAGATAAAGCCATGGAGCCTCAGCCCAGGAGGCAGGCTAGAAGGAACACGCCTGTGGTTGTTTGTTAAGAGTAACTCCTTCCACTTTTCTAGCCAAATAACGGGGCTTTTGCTGGGTGGGCGGCTCCTCAAAGCCAGACTGGAACAGGGAGGAGGGTAAGAGAACAGACTCAGCTCTCGCCGTTTCCCAAGCGCTCCCACCTCCTCTCTCGATCCCAGGAGTGACATTTATCACTGGGGCGAGGAGAGCCGACAAGCTGAGCTGCTGACTTAGACCAGAGGTAGACACAGATAGAATGGTTTCGGTATGCTCGCGGCCGGGACCACAAAAAAGCAGGTTTCTCAGCTCCCAGAACAGGGCCCCCGCCCCCGCACAGCCACCACAGAGAGGCAAGGACAGCCCCCACCCCTGAAGTTCCCCACAGCTGGGTGGCCCAGAGGGACCCGAGTCCAGAAAAAGATTTGCAAGTTAATGAACAAACCAACCTGGCCGACAGCCTGCAGCCCCTCCAGTGAGTCTGAGCTGGTTTCGTTTCACATGCAGACTCAGGGCAGCTGCCACTTTCTCCAGCCAGGTACCACCACGCACCTATCCTCTGGTCACCCCGAAAGCAGTCAGACCCCACAATCCACTGCCTTCTATCACAAGGGGCCTTGGCAGAAACAGTCAAGCTCAGGCACCTCCTGAACCAGGGGTCCTCATCCTCTAATGGGATGTTACTGTAAGTGGTCATTGCCAATCCAACCCCTACTCGCACGACCCCGTGTGCAGAGCAGAACTGCCTCACTGGGCTGTCAACGCCGTGGCCTTTCAGAAAGGCGCTACTGGGCATTTCTCTGAAGTACTTCGGGATGGGTTTGAACCTTCTAACTGACAGTTGAATGCTAACTCTTTGCAACACTCAGGAACGCTTGTGCACCAATGCCCAGAGTGAAAATGCTACATCCCACAGCCCTAGCTGCCTCTCAGGGCTGGAAGGCACAAGAGCAGCACCAAGCTGGCAGTGCTCACTCTGTTCTGCGCTGAGCAGGGCAGCAGGGGAAGAAAGACGTGTCCGGATCTCTGTGCTCGGAGCACCATGGGGACAAAAGGCCCCTGTTGTGATGGGCTTCACTTGGGGGCATAGGAAACAAGAGCCCAGGGCGGGAAGAAAACTCAAGTGCGGCATCGGATCCACCTCCCAGGAAGCAAGCTCAAGGGGTCTGACCGGAGCCGGCTACCTCTGCTGATGCGCTGCTTCTCCCCGGAGAGGATCCCGGGTGTGTCGATGATGCTGATACTGTCCAGGACGGGGTTAGGCAGCTGGGCACACATGAACCTGTGGGGGCAAGACACAAAGACAAGGCTCAGGTTCACCATCGCAGGGTTCTTAATGTGACCGCAGCGCCTCCCACACACCCTCATTGCCACCTCTGGCTTCCCTTCCGGAAACCAGCGAGTTAAAAGCGGCTGTCATCGTCATCTTTGTATCCAGGGAAGGGTGGCTAGCACACAGTTGGGCTGTCGGAACTGGGAACCCAACCAACAGGCTGAAACTGACCCACATCAGCACTTCCCCCCATTAGCCTTTCCCCTGGAGTTCCAGAGTTCAACTTCCAAGTTGCTGACATGTTAGTAAGCATTCCATCCCCCGTCACCATTCAAACCCACAGAGGAAGCAGGAGGGTGATGTAGGGACCCGAGAAGTCAGTGCTGAAATTTTCAACCACTTGGCTAAATTCCCACACATAAAAGAAAGACAGTCCCTTCTTACTGCTTCCGGGGCTGGGCCCAGAGGCCAGGGTGAAGGGACAGCCATGGGCGACCAGGAACGGCTGGGGCCCAAGGGCTGGCTGGTGATGGGGGAGGGGTGAAGCACAGACACACTATTCTCTAGAAATCAAAGCCAATGAACAAAAACAATGCCAGGGTGTCAGAGATTCAAGGACGAGGGTTCTATGCTAAGCTGAGAACAGTCAAGAACAAGGAGGGGCTACGCAGACTGACAGCTGGGAGTCTTTGAGGAACACAAAAAGAAGCTCCTTTACAAATCTCTCTGAAAAAGGTATTGTGAGCGAAGAAAATGCCCGTTGTTTGGAGGACGCAGGCCCAGAGCTGCTTGACTGAGAGTATGAGAAACTGAAGCCAGTTAATGTGCCTTCAGCCCTACCCCCCAAGTGCCCACAGGCAGCTGGACAGCTGCTTGGGGTGAAAGGTGATGTCTGCAAGCATCAACAGTACAGAACCAGCTGACTTGAGCCTAGGCTGAGCAAACGCTGGCCCATGTCCTCACTGGCGCCAGCAGCAAGCACACCATTAAACCAAAACCAAAACCAGAGCCACGCTGCGTTGTCAGTTCCAACGGAACGACCCCCAAGAACTGCCAACTGGTCCACAGGGTTTCCAAATCTTGGCAGCAGCAGACTGTCACATCTTTATCCCGTGGAACCAAGCTTTCGGTTGGCAGCCAAGGGCTTTAACCATAGCACCACCAGGACTCCACGCTGACTCCTGCATTCTACCAATGACAGTGCACCAGGAAAGAGCAAACGGGCAGGTGCTCTGAGACATTCCACCACAAAACCCTCCTGTGGGGAGCCCGCAGGTTCACACCTGGACTCAGGAGTCCGCCAAACAAAGCCGAGCGAGCATGAGCATCGGAGAGGCCTGGCATCTTCTGACCCCCCAAGGGGCACCGGCTGCACCGCTCACTATGAGCAGGGGACACTGGTTATGCAAGGTGGCGTTTTCACAACACACTCTTGGGACACCAGACTGCGCCCTGCCTGGGCTGGCTCCATCTGATTTTGTCCTAAGAGCAGCTGCTTGGGTTTAATGGCCGGAAAGTCAAGTTCATGATTCAATGGGGTCACTTTAAGAGTCTGGGTGAGGCTGCATCAGCCAGAGAAAAGCCCCCTTTGTACAAAGTGTCCTCCCTCCCTCCCCGGCGGCTCTGTGTCCCACACATCCTGACCCAGGACACTGAAGTGCAAAGCCCCCACCCTGTACTGAGAGGGCCAGCCGCTAATGGTCAGAGACCTGCTAGAGATGGTGGTGGCAGCCAGCAGAGAAGTGTCCTGTGGTCATCTGAGGGGCTAGTGTGTACAAGTGATCCTGGTGGCTCCTCCAGGCAGAAGCAGCAGTGAACACTGACAGGCTGTCCAAACGCCAGGTCGCTGGGGCTGCAGCCTCTCACTTATGTGACTTTCAAAAGTCAGCAGGCCCGCTGAGACACAGGTTCAACCCTGGTGGAAGGGCGATGGCGGCTGCCTCGATGACACCCCAGGTCTCCAGACCTGAAAACAGGGCTGTGCCCATCTGAAAAACTTGCTCTCACACTCGGAAGCGACGTACTGAGAGGAAGGGGCGGCTGGCTGTCCCTCCAATGTCCCCAAGATCCTGGGTGCAAGCAGAGACCTCACACTTGGGGTGAACATTAGCTGCCAGACATGTCACCAACCTGGAATGGACATGGCCAATCTCTGTGTCCTCCACCTCTCCTATGACAGGCGGGTCTCAGAGTGGGCTGAGAGGACTCGCCTCTTGGGAGGTGGCTTCTCTCAACTCGAGCCCCTGACCGCCTAAACCAGAGCAAGTGAAAACTCCTAGAAAGGGCCAAGAAGCAAGAAGCCCGCCAGCAGGGACCGGTCAGCTGCGTGCAGCCAGCAGAGGGGCCACTGGCTGGCCCTGGGGCTCAGCGGCCACCTCTGTGGGTATCTAGAAAGGAATGCGACTGACCAGGGCGGAGAGCTGGCCAGCCACATTCAGGGATTCTTTTCCATGTTCTTCCCTAGACTCAGACTCTGAAAGGCCCATGGAGAGGGGGCAGGAGCTGAAGTAATTCTTCATGTCCCCTGGGGGGAGGCGGAGCAAACCGGGGCTACAGATCAGCCTTCTGATTTCTTTTAGAGAAAGATGAGCTGGGGGTCACGGCCCTTCATTCAAAAGCCCTCTGAGAATCTGAGGATCACCCTCAATGGAAGGAGGTGGGTGTTACCACTGAACCGAGGCCTGATGGATGGGGAAGCCTTCCTTGAGTGTCTGCAGAAGGACCTGGGGTCTGGACTCCACTGTCTCGGGCACCCTTCAAGGGTGGCCCCATCAGTACAGAGGGCCTTCCCAGGCCTGTGATCATAGCCGAACCCCCCATACCTCCATAGACCAGAGCCCCACAGAGGCAGGGCTGAAACACACACCAGTCAACCCAGCGAACCGCTAGAAGGCCCATCGTGTTTTTCCATTACACTTAAGAAACAGACCCCTGAAAGGAAGCCAAGGGGGAGGAGGGGAGAGATCTGAATGAACTGGGTGCGTCACCCCGAGCCTGAAGTCTGCCCCGGGGAAGGATGAGACGGGTCAGGGTGGAGACCAAGAAAGGGAGGCTGGAATCTGTCACCTTCCCACCACGGTCCCCATTTCCTGGGGCGGTGGGGCTGGGGTCTGCACGGGGGTGGGGTGGGGTGGTGGTGTCTGAGAGTTAAACTGATGATCGTGACAATCCCGGGGGCTTGAAGTCGGGAAGCCAGTAACGTCCACTCCCTGGACCCCGGAGTGGGTTCTCTGTCCCCGGGAGTAGTGGCGGAGGGTCCCGCCGGGGGCCTCGCAGACAAAGGACGGCGGGGGCTGCGGGCGGGGCAGATAGGGGTCCGAGCGCGGGGTCCGAGCCCTGGCTCCCTCCCCGATTACAGAATCCGGGACAGTACCTGTTGAGGAAGGCGTTGCCGAAGGCGTTGAGTTTGCGGAAGGGGCGCCGCGGGTCGACCACGAGCGCATTGCCGGGCACCACCCCCTCGGTGGGGCCGTGCATGACCGCGATGAACGAGTCGGTGGTGGGCTCGGGCCCGATGCGCATCCCAGGGAAGTCCTGCTCGATCAGGTGCCGGATGAAGGTGGTCTTGCCCGTGCTGTACTGGCCCACCAGGAGCACCATGGGCTTGTTGTCGAAGTCGGCATCCTCCAGGGCCGGCGAGTGGAACTCGTGGAAGCGGTAGTGCTCCTCCAGGGGCAGCAGCTTCTGCGCGTACAGCTGCCGCAGACCCTCGGCCACTGTCTGGAAGAGCTCCGGTTCCTTCTTGCGGCGGGCATCCTTGCTGACCCAGCTGAACATGCTTCTGGACACGGGGCTGGCTGCTGCGGGCAGACCAGCAGGGACTGAGAGCGCGGCGATGGCCGGAGCCGAGGCGGGGCCGGGCCGGCCGGCGGAGAGGCGGCGGCGGGGCCGGGGGCGGGAGCAGCCCTCACTGCGCAAGCGCACGACACTAGCCGACCGGAGGAGGTATCCTCTGCGGAGTGGAGCGCGCGCCGCGCCGTACGCCCTTTATAAGGCTGAGCCAGCGTGCCGGAGCGCGCGTGCCCGAGCGCGCGCGCCCGCCGGGAGGCACCGCGAGCACGTGGCGGGAGGGGGCAGAGCCCTCCCATTCTCCGCCCACCAGCTAGCGCCACGTCCATCCCCTCCCCCGCCTCCCATTGGCTGGTGTCAAGTATCGCGAGACGCGGTATCTCCGCCCCTCCTTAGCCGCCTTAGCAGCGGTATCTCCGCCCCCCCTTAGCCGCCTTAGCAGCCATTTCTGGTACCGTGGCAACCGCACCTGTTTGGCCCTGCCCCGCCCCCTCCCCCTGCGGCTCACGGAAGTGCTGCGGTTGGTGGGGCGGAAGTGGCGGTCTCTAAGAAGCCGTACCCGCCTTCCAGCCCTCGAGTCCCCACACACCCGTCCACCCAGCCTCCTGGCTCCAAGAAGGACACTCGATTATACACCCCAGTTTTCTGAGCACACACCCCAGTGCCACCCAGTTTGTCCCTAATTAGATCTTTCACGGAAGAATCCTCGGACGAGTCAGAGGACCCCGGGGCCATGGTCCCTCCTTTCCTGCGCTGCCCTGTCCTGCTTTCCCATCTTCCATGACACACACACTCTCTCGTCCCTTCATCTTTTATCTCCTTTGGGAGAGGAAGAAATAAAAGTTTGCTAGAAGAAGCCGAGGGGCTAGAGAATTCAAGGCAGGGCGGTAACCAGGGAGGGAAAATAGAAAGAAGAAGCCTGACCCTTGCTCAGCCCCCAGGGCCAGGGCTGGGGAGTGGGCGCGGGGAGTGGGGGGCATGGAGGGAGGGGGAGAGGAGGCCTCTCGGAGGAGCCTGCAGCTGTGGGCCGAGGGCAGGGGGGTGCAGAGGAAGTGGAGGCCCTCCAGCCACTTGAGTTTTGAGGAAGTGAAATCGGAAATTCCCTATGTGGGGAAGAGGGTAAATGTGGGGCAACAATGGAGTCTTGTGGGATCTTAGGGGGAATTAAAAGAACCCAAATACTTCCTCGTTCCGCTCAGGGTCACCACCATTACCAGCTTTCACTCTGACCTGGCTGTGGCCATAGCCCCCCACCACCCTTACCAGTTCTTGGCTCTTCTGTTAAGCTTGTGTCCCCGCCATCATCCCTGGCCACACGTTGTCCTCCTTAAGCTGTCTGGGCTGGTGAGAACCATCAGTGGGTGATGTCAGAGCTTTTAGGATTGTGATGTAACCAATGTCAGGACACCAAAGTGGTGGAGGTAGGGAAGAGGGGTTCCTGGACAGATCCTAAAGGAGCCTGGGGGTTTGGTGGCCTCCAGGGCATCTCCCTGGCTTCTAGGAGGAGACTTGGAGGGCTGAGTACCAACACCCAGGAAGAAAGTAAGCTGGTAAAGAGGCTGAGAAGTGGTAAGATACTGGCCGGTGCTGAGCTTGGCATGAGCACTCAAATGCTAGAAGAATGTTAGGGGATGAATTCAGTGGGGACAAGAGAGGGAAGGTGAGAGACACGTGGTTGCCTACCCCTTACTCTTGTGGGATCAAGTTCTGCTGAGAGAAGAAGTCTCAGTTCCTTCTGTGTCTGTGGTCTGTTCTCAAGACCCCCGTTCTATGCATTCCACGCTGCCTCTAATTTTTCTTTCCTCCTCCCGGTTGTTCAAGTGCAAACTCCTACTTTCTGAAGAAGCCCTCGTGGTGGAGTGTGTTCTGTGTTGGCTTGCTAACCACAAGGTCAGCAGTTTGAATCCCAAGGGAGAAAGATGGGGCAGTCTCCTCCCATAAAGAGTTACAGCCTCAAGAACCTGAGGGAGGGGGAGGGTTGGGAGGGGAGAAAATCACAACGATGAGTGAATGGAAACCCAAAGTCTCTGTACATTTTCATTGAAATTAATAATAAATTTAAAAAAAGAAAAAAACTTGAGGGAGATTTACCATGAGGTTGACTCAACACAATGGTAACAGTGGATTTGGATTTTGAATTTGTCAGCCTTTTCCCCGCAGATAGCTGACAGTGTAAGAACGGGCAGAGCAGAAAAGGGGCAGGACATACAGGGAACGCTGGGAGGAAATGCTCTTCACAGCAGACAACGGAGCAGACCAGGAGAATGAGGTGGTCATAGTACCACGGTGGGACTTAGCACAGTAGTGAGGATACCGTGAGGGTCATGAGCACAAAAGTGGAGCAAGGACGGAGGGTGAGAAGTGAGGACAGTCAGAGCAAACCTCACTGAGATGTGAGGTTAGGGTGGAAGCAGCCACAGGGGGCTTCAGGACAAGGGCTGGTGTCTCAACTAAAGAAACAAAATCATTCTGTGTTCCTCTGTGAAGAAGGAGCCCAGCCCTGGGCCGGGGAGATGGACTAGCCAAGGAGAGAGCCAGGTCGTGGCAGATCAGAGGTAGAAGGAAGAAAAGTTGGGTTTATAGAGGAGAGGGAACCACAGACCCTCAGTCTGGGCCTGGAGGAACAGGGACGCAGCACTGGGTACACTTCTTTCCCAGATGCAGAAGGTGACTTGGTACAAACAGGGGACTGAGCTTTCGATGGAACTGATACCTGGGTTATTCCAGGTGACTCCACTAGCTCACTCTTCTTCCAGCTGATGGAATAGAAAAGGGAGGGTTGGTTGTCCTTTGCTCCTCGTTTCACTTAGACCTTTGGTCTATTCATCACCATCTTGCTGCCAAGGCTGGATTTGATCTTCTGCAGATAATAGGAACCGTGCCTGGGCGCTCCTGGGATGGGCCACCCCTTCCTTTGCTTTCTCTCTGCATCTGCCCCTTGAGAAACAGGTTCTTCTGTGTTTTAAAGCGAATGTCAGCACAGTGCAGCTGATAGCTGAACCCCTGAAGCCTCCTAGGTTTGGGTCTTGTAGGCCAGCTGGGCCCTCTTGACAACTTCGGATCCCAGCTAGTCCAGCTTAACCTCTGTGTCTCCTAGCCCTTCCTACCTCACTCTTGACCTGTCCACACATCCTCCAGTGAATCTCCTGCCTCCCTCTCTTCTCACTCCTAGAATAACCCTGCCTATGTCACTTTTCTAAAAGCAAGTACTTCTCTGTGAAATAGAATGACATTTATATTGCATCCCATCTTTTGCTCTCACAAAGGTGCTATAAACTGTCAATCTGTATGCAGAACAGATCATCCGAGATGCTGGGCTGTACGAGGAGGAATGTGGCATTAGGATTGGTGGAAGAATCGTCAACAACCTGCGTTATGCGGGTGACACAACTCTGCTCACTGAAACTGAAGAGGACCTGAAGTGCTTGCTGCAGAAGGTCAAGGACTGCAGTCTTCAATACAGATTGAAGCTGAATATCAGAAAACAAAGATTCTCACCACTGGGCCAATTGGCAGCATCAGTATGGATGGTGAAGAGATTGAGATAGTTAACAGTTTTAGTTTGCTTGGCTCCACAGTCAACACTCTTGGTAACAGCAGTCAGGAAATCAGGAGACTAATTGCATTGGGAAAGTCAGCTGTGAGGGACCTCTCAAGAGTACTGAAGTGCAACAATGTCAGGCTGGAGACTAAGGTGCGCCTGATCCAGGCTATAGTCTTTGCAATTATGTGCTATGCATCGGATAGCTGGACAATGAGTAGGGATGATAGAAAGAGGATTGATGCCTTTGAGCTGTGGTGCTGGAGAAGAGTGTTGAATATACCATGGACTGCTAGGAGAACGAACAGGTTTGTCCTGCAGAGGGTGAAGCCAGAATGTTCCCTGGAGTCAAGGATTCTGAAGCTTCGTCTGACATACTTTGGGCATGTTGCAAGGAGGGACTGGTCCTTGGAGAGGGACATCATGTTTGGGAGAGTGGAGGGGCAGCACAGGAGAGGAAGACCCTCGATGAGATGGATCGATTCTGTGAGTGGAGTGGTGGGAATGAATGTGTTTGAGACAGTGAGGTTGGCACAGGATAGAACGGCATTTAGGGCTCTTGTACATAGGGTCACTATGAGTCGCAAACAACGTTGTAACAACGCACATAACGTTGTAACAACAACAGGTGCCGTTGAGTTATAAAAACCCTTTGTACAATGCATCCTACACCATCTTCAGTCTCTGCCGAGTTTGAGCCCATTGTTACAATCTGTGTCAATCCATCTCATTGGGGGTTCCCCCTTTTCCATTAATCCTCTCCACCTACACATTCATCATATCTCAAGTGTGAAAAATCCACCTTAGGACAACTTCCTGAAGTTGAGCATTTGTAATCTTGGTAGCTCTCAATGAACTTCCTTCCTGGAAATGCAACCAGTTTGCAGTAAGTGCAGCTTCCAGACTCAGCCCTCCCTTCTCTGTCCTCCCACGAGGATCCTAAGGCTTGAAGGGTGTTCCGGGAGAGCCAAGGTGTGCTGTGTACATGACTCTTATCCTGCTTAGCAGAAATGCCACAAAGGGTGACTTTAAAGAACAGAAATTAATTTTCTCACAATTCAGAAGCCCAAAAGTAACAATTCAGGCTACTGGCTCCAGGGGAAGGGTTTCTGCTGGTTTCAGTGGAAAGTCCCTGTCTCTTTTCAGCTTGAACTCCTCACTGGCAATCTTTATACAACATGACCTCTGCCTTCACCAAGCTGTACTTCCTTGTTCTGAGCCCCATGTACCCTTTTCTATTGCAAGGTGATTGACTTGACAAGTCACGCATACAAGATCAAAAGGACAGCATTTGCCCGGGATAAGGATTGGAAAGCAGGCAGAGATAGGACAGGAGGACGGGTGCAAATGGTAAACACAGGGAGGAAGAGGAAGGAGTGCTGCTATACTGTGAAGACCACAGTCACAGTCCTGAAACACGATGTCCAGGAAGAGTGGAAAGGAAAAATGTGTTCTGTCAACTGTCGCTAAAATCACAGTAAAAAGGAGAAGAAAAACATGACATTCTGCTTCCCCTTTTTTTTAAAAACCCCCTTATTATTTTCAAAGACCCCATGCTTGTTAACAAATTACATAAGAGAACCCTAATTGCAAATCAAGAGAAGAAATTATTGAAGATCGTGAAGGGATAATCTTAGACTCACTAAGTAAGTGAAAACATCTTGATTTGCTTACTCCTAGGGGGACCCTCAGAGGGAGAATCGGATATTCGCACTTAAGTTTCCCAGTGGTGCCAATGAGAC